CAGAAAATGTTAAAGAGCTTCCAGAATTAGATAATTCTGGATAATTTATCTCTTGAAAAATGTACCTTTATCTATCAGCAGTAGTTAGGCAATCTCAGTTGACATTTGCATTTATTATTCGTATTTGTTTTCTTTCACAAGGAATTCAAAGCATTTGACTTATTTCCTCAACCTCAATATTATGATAAGACACCAAGTCCACTTTCAACCTACATTTTGCACATCTTTTCTATTGAGTTTTTTTTTTTTTTTTTTTTTTTTGAAAGTAGGCCAAGTAACATTGAATGTTTTAGTGCAAGCAACCTGCCATATTCCCTTAGTTACATCTGATAAGAACAGTTCTGATAACTTTTCAGTCCACAACAAACGTTTTTGACAACATCTGATTTCTTTTCATACTAATATGAATTAACTGCAAAACACAGATGTCAAAAATTACCTACTTTAGCCATATTGCCTTTTAGTTCCAAAATTAAAACCGAAATTCTTCACAAAACCTAAGAGCAAGTCAATACTATTTCCAAATTCCTTAGCTGAAGTCATTTTTCACACCTAAGACAAAATAGCTCACGCATCTCATCATCTCTTGCTGGAAAAGACAACCTACATTATTAAAGTAACCTAAAATGTGAATATTTAGCTTTAAAAAATAATGCTAGAGGAACTATGTTTTCTAAGCAACATAATATGTGAATATTTGACTTAAAATATAAAGTGCACATTAAACGCATTTATAACTTAAGGTTGTGGATAATCCTTTAATTAGTTTTTGCATTCAAAGGAAAGATGTCAAAACTTGTCTTACGTATTCTAGTTCCCATATGTCACTCCATTCAACAGGAAACTGTACTTACGAGCTTAGAAAAACATTTGCATCTCCAAAGGGGCGGGGGAGATCAGCACCTCAGTTTAACTAAAAACCAATACAATTTTATAATGAATATTTTGATGTCATCATGGCAATTTTCCAGGACAAGCGTTTCCAGGATTAGGCACAGTCTACTATGGTTTTTGCACTTTGCAAATACCAGGAGTAATTGCTGTTTCAAAAGCAGCAGACGTCCTGGCAGTTGCCACTTCTATGTGAGTCAATGAGATGGAGGCCTTTTTATAGAGATTGCATCCCAGAGTTACTACTAGCTGCACAAAATTGCCCAGAAGGAAGTACATGATCTGATTAGCCAAACACTTTCTACATGCCACATACCCCTAATGCCTCATGCCCATTCCCCACCTTCCCTTATAAAAAAGAAAACTACATGGCTTAACAAAAATGCATATAACATAGGGAGCACAACACAAAAAAAGATGCAGTAGCTTTGATGCACTTGTTTCACAGCTATTGATATTTAGGGGAAAAACATTTAAAAAAAAGAAAATAAAAAAGGAGGAGGGGGACAATCATTTGCAGACAATGACATTGAAAACATGAAGGTGACCAAAATAATCTTGGCCTGTTGTAGGTGAGGCAGTCCAAGTGTACAAGGAGACTTCAGGGGACATATTAAGTAAGGCCCTACTAACTGGCTGAACACTAAGCATATACTATAAAATAAATAAATAAATAACATTTCCTAAATCAGAACTTTCAGAAAGCTCATTTTTGATTGCAAAAAGCTGATTATAAATTCATTTGCTTTTCTCATGTCCACTCAATCCTGAGAGTCAAACAAAGCCTTTGGGGCATGGGGGGAGCAGGGTGGAATAGTACTGCTGTTCATACTATAGTCTACACATTAGGCAAAAATAGGCAAAAAAAAAAATTCCTTTTGACTATATGTAATTTTTTTTGACTATTTCTGCCATACGATAATCATGTCCTGGTCTTTAAGAACTGCAGTCTTAAAACTCATCTGCTGCAAGTTGCACGCGTATTTGTTTACAAGGCCTAATACTTCATATATAGAGCCTTGGACAATGTGCCAAAAAAAATGACTGAAGCCTGCTCTGTTAGAAGATGGAAATTTTGTCCGGTTTTAGCAAATGTCAAATCATTGGCTATTCCTTTTAAGTTTAATAAAAGATATAATGGTTTCTAGATAGCCTCTAAATAAAGATTACTATGAATGGAGAAATGATTTACCAATAGTCACCACAATGAGATTTCTTTAAAGGTTACAATCATCAGTTATTTAGCTGAAACACTGCTGAGAATGCCTGGTCATTTCTTGAATAATGCATAATGTTCTTTGTAGATTTGATCTGTATTATAACAATACAGATATTTCTAAAATAATGGAGAAAACTATCTGTTACTTTGCAGTTGCTCAAGATATCATTTCCATGAAGTAATTGACTCTGAAAATATTATATGGAGTCACTTGAGTGTTCATTTTCAAGCACAACTTGTAGTGATTGCTACACAATAGGAATCAGAAAACAAACTCATCAGCTTTTATAGACTTTTAAGAAAAGCCATGATTAATACTGGGCAGAGTAAGGGAGCTTCCTGAAATACTAAATTAAATTGATTAAATTGCCATACAGTACTAGGGGACAAATTTAAAACTAAGCTTTGAAATTTAATTATTAACAAGTAGGCCATCACATTTGGAAAAATAAATGAATAAAGCAGTTGCCTAGAGAGCCTATATTCCTCTCATAATTTTCTAAATGCCTTTAAGTCTATCTGTGAGACTGCTTGAGGACACAAAGTATAGCGTCTAGTGTTTTACTGTAGGATTATCAACCATACTTCACATGAAGCTGCAAGCTATTTATGTGAACTTGTTTATCCATATGAACTTCAAGGGCAGCTAAAAGCAACCTTAATAAATTAGAATGAATTTCTTTTGATGTAATTTCATGAATGTTTGATCAGAATGTGCTAACATATTTCTCTATAAAGAGAATCCGTGAAATAATAAAACATACCTGTATTTTACAGTTCAAACTGCTTGTGGTGAATTCTTATACTATGAAACACCACTTATTGGTAATGGCTGAGCATTATTTCCATACACAGACATATACAAAATGCAAACCCTTGTTACTAGAAAGAACTTCCACGCAAAGACAAAACGAAAAAACACTAAAGCTCCTGGGCTTCCACATGACTCAGGTTTGGAATTCAGGTTAGGTCTCTAGAAAAGGATTCAGCCATCTCACCGGTTCGAGTGCAGAGCTCGATTATTGCCTCAGATAGGGTGGAAAGACAGCATGAAGCATTTACCTATGCTTTTCAGAGGAAAACACATTTTATTCTGAACTAGAGTACTTATATTCAAATATATTGTTTTCCAAGAACAAGGCTCCATTATGCCTAAAATTCTGCCACACTGGATGAAACACAAAAATGAAAGCACCACTATTCAAATACATATTCTCACTCCACAAGAGAATAATAAAAAAAGACAGATCCCATATAGAGAGCCTGCAGAACGCAGAGGTTTTAAACACAGAACACCTTAGAGAAGCACTGTAGGGGTAGTGGTGGGAGGAACGAAATATTAACAGACAGATCATGGATCCTACAGCAAAAGGTCCACTTTATATGACTCTTGAAGTACTGTTTAATTGCCTGAGAAAATCTCTCGTACTGAAAAAATGGGGAACATTTGCATATTATATCACAAGCCTGATGAACCATGTTATACTCGTGTTCTCGATGATGTAATTACCTTTTTTCCTCTTCATGAAAATTATATATGATGTGGCAGGTAATATAAATGAAATATATGAAGTGACGCAAATATGTCCTGCTACTAAATCGTCAGTCTGAAAGTTCTTTGCTTTTGCCCTCCATGGCTATCTTATTTTTCTAGTGAAAATAAAGCTTTTCTTTGCTAAAAGTATTTCCTCTGAATGGAAAACAATTAAAAGCTATTTCACAGCCAGTATCAATAACCCTGCATGGGCATTTTAGAGTTGATAAATAAGATCCCATCATCCTGCACCTACTTTTACATATGGCAATTTCTGTGGCCGTTCACTATACACAACCTATCCAATTTAGTGTGGACTAAACCCTTAAGTTCCCTGATATGTGAAAAATAAAGTTCTCAAATCTCATATGCTTCTTTCTAAAATATTTCTCCTCTAACATGTGAGATCAGTATCTGAAATAAAGCAGGGTAATTTTCTGTGCTGTCAAAACCAGACCAATCACACTTACACAGCTTTTGGTAACAGGGTTTTGTTAGTGCCGTTTGCACACTAAATTGAAACACCTTTCAAACGCTTGTCTATGTAAGAAGGAATATGAGTACAAAAAAAGTAAAAAAAAAATTTACAAAACATGTCCAGCTGATAAAAGTCATTAAGAAAATCAGTTTGAACCAACGGATACAAATACATTTTCTAAAACCAAATTCCTGATTTCTCTATTACTAGACTTCTGTGGCACCTCCCATCTAAAAAACATGCTTTGTTGCCCAACTGCTTGTTTAAGCATGAAAAGGAGATGTGTAATATTGAAAATCTGTCTATTTTGGCTAAAACTTTGATAGATACCTATAGGCTTAGGTTGCCTAAGGTTAGGTTAAGATTGCCTATTACAAGATGATACGTAAAATTCTTGACTATCCTTGTCTCGGATGCTAATGACTGGAAAACCTAAATGTGATGATTCCTGAACATAAAAAACACAATTCTGCCTTTAACGTATAGCTGATTTTAGAGAACTTACGTAATGTTTCAGTCTCCAAATCCAGAAATGATGCTGTGATTCACTTAAAGCATCCTTTTATAAGATGCTGAAATAATCAAAGAATCTCAATCATTGCTAAATAACTTGAAACAATTTAAGATACATTTCCCAGAAGGCCTATGGCTGTAACATTATTGATAATTGATTGCTGTTAAATAAAAGATGAATAAAATAAGAGGTTTATTTCACCTTCACATGGTGTCTTTCTCATGCAGACCTCAGATTTCCACATTTGTATCCCTTTAAAGGATTTGATATGCAGGGAAAGAAGAAAGAATGACGGTAAAAATTTCAATTTAGAGGTTACTAAAGGCTGCCATATTCAATACTGTACGACACGTTTGCTCCATACCTTTTACTGATGTATTAGGTGGAGGTCCTTCCATTCTCAAGTTCCACGGAGGATCTCCTTGATTAGCAAAGTCCCTCATTTTCAGATAACTAATTGTAAGTCGGATAATGGATGCCTTGTCAAGCTGGCTGGTGATGGCTGCAGGCAGCGGCAACAACTTTGCCAACTCATAGAATTCAAAATTCTCTTTTCCCCGTCGAGAGCGAGCAGCATCTCGGGACTTTTCCTTCCTCAAAGCTTGTAAACTGAAATAAAAACACAAAACAAAGCAGCACATTCATCAATATTTGTGTTCTGTAACATTTAACCAGCTTACTTTTTCCATTGCTAGCCTTCTACACAAATTACCCCATTTTTAAAGTGCTGTTGATCATAGATACACAGGCTTCAGGATATATTTCACAGTCTCTGAATATTTAAAACCAGTAATAGCCTTTGTGTCTCAGTGGCAGCCAACCTGTTATGTAGCTGCTCCTAACTCATTTCACCTGTTTCCTTTCCAGCTACCTGTTACTCTGCTGTCAGTCACACCAATTCACAGGAAAGTTGCATTTCTGTAAATTCTGTGCATCTGTGTGTAAATTCACATGACAGTTACCTGAATGGATGCTATTGCTCCTCCTGACCCAGTGCAACCCACCCGCAGCTAAATTTGGGCCCAATTCTGACTCTAGGGAAGACGAGATAAAAGCAGATGACTGTGGAACAGGCAGCATCTTCCTGCCAGTTGCTGTGCAGGTGGCCAAGGTGACCATCAGGTTGTAAAGCAGCTTTGGAGGTGCATAAGTTTCAAGTCTGCTGTAATAACCAAAACCTCCCTGGATTTTAGGAAGCTGGTCTTTATGGGGTATTCAGCTGTCCTTGCTGGGGGAACAGCAGTTCACAGAGCGATGTGCATCCGGCCTCGGATTTTAATTCACTGCCACATAAACATCAGGCTCTCAGACAACCTTCTGGTCAGAAGGGACTTTCTGCTCTACCCCGAGCAGGTGGCAGTGCACAGAGACATTTGTTTGCCACTGTCACATCCGTGTTTCGCTGCCTGCCACCTGTATGCAAGGGAAGAGGCCTCAAAGTAACACAGATCTTTTTCTAGGGTTAATTGGTGCCTTACTGCTGAATGCACATTGGCATGATAACGGGTAACTGCTGATCTTCCCTGAAATTCAATTTGCATTTTGCTTCGAAGTAGGATAATACAGTTCTTTTAGGGGAAAGAGGGGTTAAATTTTTTCTGTTGTGTGGTTTGGGAAAGAAAGAAATGTGCAGCACATTTCCCAGAAGGTTAGGAGTCAAGGTGTAGATGATTAAAAAAACTCATTTTTGTTTCAAGGGAGTTCTTTAAAACACATTTTATGGTAAGGATTTGATCAGCTTGGCCGTACTTCTGTTTGTCAGATGGAGATTGGTGTCAATGTTGATGTTGCTATCTGCCAATCAATGTGTTAAAGTGAGCAGAAACAGTTCTTATCTATGAAAAAGACTGTATCTTTCCTTTGCTTCCTGTGATTACTTCTTTATTTGATCAAGTCTGAGGAATCCAGAAGAGCCAAGAGATTCTCAACTTGGTCTGAAAGTCAGTGCTGAGAAGATCAGTCTGGTCCTTCTTTCTAAAACAACTAATTCTAATTCTGTCGAAGAAGGTGGCTTTTAAGACAGCCACCTGTCTTAAACAAGACAGGTGAACTTGTCAACAAACCAGTCAGATTCCCATCAACTTTTGGAATGAAAAGGTTCTTAACAATTAGACAGAAAATTCCTTAGCAAATCCAGAGGCTGAACCTGCTCTTCTGTATGTACTATTTACACAGCTTCAGTTTTAGCTGAGTATATTATTGAAACTGAAAGAAATATTGCAATGTAAACTTAAAATACATTATTCGATCTTTTACATTCGTAACAGCAACTTACCAAACAGAAAAGCAAGGCTACTTATACATAAGCAACAGTCTTTGGGAGCTGCTAGTACATGTTTAAGCTTGAAGAGTATGATATCCCAAGGTAGAAGGGATAGCGATTCGATAGCACAAACGTAGAAAAGCAATATCAGACAACCAACCCTACCGGCAACACCACGAGCGATGCTCTTAACCGAGCACTGTGCTGCTAACCCCAACACCTGGTAGAAGAGGGGGGTGCAAGGCTCACAGCGGAGAGCAGCGGTGCCAACACAGGAGCAAAAGCCACTCACACGCCAGGAACAACTCTTAAATGGGGTCTCCCAGACAGCAAGCAAAAGCTACATAGACTAGCTGCGGTTCTCACAAACAACGACTGAGTGCGGGTCAAACATACCCAAAAGCCTTACCAGCTAGAAAACTAATGCTATTTTGGATTAGAGCTTTCTAGAATATATTATTTTTTTTCCTTTTATTGCCTTTCCAGATGGACTGATACAAAGAGGGTCTGCTTTTACGGATGAAAGGGTATGACAAAAGTTACCATATAATTTTAAAATAGTATATGCAACATTTCTAAAGTCATTTTTCCATTAAAGACACAGCAGATGCGGAAGACATGATAATACGGTGTTGCATAAAAGTTTTATTAGTACTCATAACTCACTTGTGATTTCATTGTGCTTATGGTCACTCCAAGCTTAACCTCCTTCATCTATGCCTCCACATCATTTTATATCTTTTATAAGTATATATATTCATTCATATCTGTGCACATAACCAGAACCTCTGCAGGTCTGACAGACCATCATCTGTCATTTTAAAGATGGGCCAATCACAGCTCCTAATTTTTGCAGTATATAATGGCTGTCAAATATGTTACCAAATATCAACTAATGCACTGACCTAAATTAATAAGGATTTTTAGGATCCAGTACCTCAGTTTGGGCAGTAAGAAAAAAAAAAAAATCAGTGAAATAATTTTCAGGGTTTAATTCTGCGGGTTTGCATCCAAAAACCCGCATGTTCATGGTTACAAATGAATATTTCTATCTCCAATTTAAAAATATAGCTTGGAAGCAAATACATATGCCAGTTTTGGGAAGACAGAAAGCACTTGAGTTTTTGCTGCCACTGCTCCTCTAGCCCCAGTTGGCAGCCAAGGCAGAGTCCCAGCCCAGCCCAAAGGTACAGTTTGTCTACAGTTTACTAGCATAGTGCATAGCTCATCCTCATCAGCTACAGACAAAACAGTATGTCAAATTGTTACAGAGGATACACAGTATTTTTTGCAATTCTATTGAAATTCTTCTTGAGGAACTTTACCAGTACAATACTATTCCAGAACACAGCACTTCTTTTCTCATTGTGCTGCACTATATCATACTTGTTAATTTGGCTGTTGTTAACCACCAGTGAATTTCCTAAGCCTCTAACAGCAATATGGATTCGTAGCAGCAAACCCAGATCCAGCAAGACCATAATACTTAGCAGCAGTATCTAATAATGTTTATAACATGCTTCATAGGGAATGAAGCAATGTATGTATGCATATGTATATATATGCTTATATTAGTATAGACTTTTAAATCCAAGGATCTAAAAGTCCACTCCAAACATTCTTCACCTCTCTATAAGCCTTTGGCAGCTGGCAGCTATATCCATTTCACAGAAAAGAAAACAGATATATAGAAAGGAAACAGCATGGAGCACCACAATTCAATTCTAGCCCCACAGCCTGTCTTCCCACTGAAACCGACTTTGTTGTGTATGTGCTTCCATGTACGATGATTTTCGATATAATGAACACAGAAACGCTTACTGGCCATGGACCTTAGTTGTACTATTATATCAGAACATAAATATACACTGCTCCCGAGTCCACAGGTCAGCATATATGATATATGCTAGCAACACATTATCTTGTATTGTCCTTAGGTCATTGTAGGTTATTATATGAGTTTGACATACTTTGGGCTTTTTTTTTCCTTTACTTTTAGATCAAATTTAGATTTTTTTTCATTTTTTAAAAAAATGTTTAGATCATATCTGCATTTGTATCTATGCAGTGTAGTGAAAAATAGGGCACTCCAACTAGTACGAATATTTGTACATTGTGACCTCTTACAGGACTAATGTGTATTTCTCATTCCCTCACTTAGCCACATTCCTGAGGAGGCTTCAAGCTGACCAAATTAAAAAATGATGGCAGGTAAGCCCATTTATAGCAACTATATAGGAAATATGGCTCTTAATGGTTGAGCAATTCATTAATGCTGTCCAAGTCCACCAAAATTCTGCCCTATAAAAATCTCCTGTTTTCATTTCACTGATCAGGTTAACTACACTAAATGCAAAACACCAAGAAAACAGCACCAGAACAATTATTTAGAATAGTATTTCTTTTGCCCTTTGGCAAAAGACTTTATTTTGGCCGAAGGTCTTTTTGGAAAATGTTTGCTAATAGTGACATCTTAAAAATAGTACTTAAACTGAATCATGTTTGCAGACTTCACAATGGATTTGGGCTGGAAGAAAGATGAAGGAAGAAAAGCAAAGTAACATGCACGACTTAACTGCAATATGTGTTAAAAAGTCCAGTCTACCAAATCAAGCACCACCACTGTTGGCAATATGTGCCTAAAGCCTCCTGTTAATGTTATCTGCTACTGTTCTGATTTTGTAAACGATGTGCTCTAGAGAGTGCGGCAATATGCACAAAAAATGACTTTTTTTTTTCAGGATAGCAATATAAGTGAATGGAGGAAAATAATGCAAAAGAGCTAATGTTCCGGCAGATGTGAATGTGACTTAACAGGAGAAAACAAACAAACAAACAAAAAAAACAACAAAAAATTCTTCCATTTAAAAAAACATGACTCAAACTCAGTTAGGAAAATCAATACAGGAAATTAATACGTTTACCTCTAATTTCTACACGCTATTTTGTTATCACTTTTTGCATTTTATTTTTTGAGATGACTTTCTAACACAGTTTTCTTTCTTTCTCTGCTTTTTTCCTAGCGTCTTATCCATAGCAACTTCCTTTTCACAGTACTGAGTTCAGAAACAACCAGCAAGAACTTCAAGATTAATAAAAAACAGTTATGCTGTTTAAATGAGGAGAGTACTTCTGTGAGGATAAAACCTCAAAAAAAAAAAAAATCAAAAGCCATGTTAAATTTTACCTTCTTCTTTCTTAAGTATATCTGAGAAGTCAGACAGGAAGATTTTTATGGATTTTCCTACTTGTTTGCCTAGGAGATCCAGCCATTGCTCAGTCTCACTATTTATCAATTAATCTAGCATGCAGCCTCAAAGGAAAAAGGTCGACCTGTATTAAAAAT